GTCTGGGACCCTGCCCACCCTCGCAGCCTGCTTTGTTCAAGCATACCCTCCCTCTCCGGCTGTTCCAAGGGCTCCAGATTCCCCAGACGGGACACCAGTGTGGCCTTACAGGTGCTGTTTTTCCTGCTGAGCTTCCTTTCCTTTCTGCTTCTTCAACAGGTTAATTCCTAGACATCCTTCCAGAATTTGGCTAGACAGGTCTCTTCTCCTTGAAGTCCCCACGGACCTGCTGCTCTACACAGATAGCCACACCTTCCTCTGGGCCCCCGGTGGTTGATACTCATCACTGCAGTCCCTCCCTTCCTGTTCCCCTCCCTTCCTTCACTCCTTCACTATTTAGTTTCGGGCACCTGACCATGTTCTCATCACACCAGGGTGGTGGCAAAACAAACATAAGCAAGAGCAGACCCAGACCCCACATTCAAGGGGCAGCATGAATCCATCAAGCAGTGTAGATGAATAATACACAGGGAAGCCAGATCTTTTCCGTAAAGAACTTAAGATTTTCTCCATGAGTGAAAAAGTCTACAAATCATAAATGCTGGGGAGGATGGGGAGAAAAGGGAACCCTCCTACACTTGGTGGGTATGTGAATTGGTGCAGCCACTATGGAAAACAGTATGGAGGTTCCTTAAAAAACTAAAAATATAATTGCCATATGATCCAGTAATCCCACTCCTGAGCATATATCCAGAAAAGACAAAAGCTCTAACTCAAAAATATATATGCTCCCCAATGTTCATAGCAGCACTATTTACAATAGCCAAGACATGGAAGCAACCTAAGTGTCCACTGACAGATGACTGGGTAAAGAAGATGTGGCACATATATGCAATGGAATATTACTCAGCCATAAAAAAGTATGAAATAATGCCATTTGCAGCAACCTGGATGGACTGACCTAGAGATTATCATAGTAAGTGAAGTGAGTCAGGTAGAGAAAGACAAATATGTGATATCACTTATATGTGGAATCTAAAAAACAATGCAAATGCATTTATTTATAAAACAGAAACAGATTCACTGACATAGAAAACAAATTTATGGTTACCAAAGGGGAAGAGGGGGGGTGGATAAATTAGGAGTATGGAATTAATAGATACGTACTACTATATATAAAATAGATAAACAATAAGGATTGTTTACTGTATAGTATAGGAAACTGTTCAATATCTTGTAATAACCTATAGTGGAAAAGAATCTGAAAAAATATATATATATATGTTAACCAAATCACTTTGCTGTACACCTGAAACTAACAAAATATTGTGAATCAACTATACTTCAATTAAAAATTGTTTATTAAAAAAAGATTTTCTCCATGATTTAAAAAAAATAAAAGGTTGAGAAAAAGGCTACATTAAAATTCTTCTAGTCTCAGATCTAATATTGCTAGTTAGTTAAGCCCTGGGGTTTGTAGGACTTTGTCAAACTCAGTTTCTTCATGTATAATGTTAGGAACAGGAAATAATTGATTGAGGCTTTGGGCATCTTCCTTGAGCACAGCCCTAGGGCTACTGAGAGAGCTGTGTGGCGGACTCAGGGCTCTGGGGGAATAAGCCAGAAGAAAAGAGATCCCAGCATGAAATCTCCACCAGGCTTTGCTTTCAGAGGAGCTTTCCCAGAGTCCACAGCTTTCCTCCGTAGTGTTGATCATGGTTTGGAATTCTGCAGTTGCCTTATTCTTTGATGGCCAGCTCTTTCTAACTGGGCCATAAACTCCATGAGAGTGGGTGATGTGTCCATCTTATTTTTTTATAACAGCTTTATTGAGATATAAGTCACACACCATAAAATTCACCCTTTTGAAGTATACATTCAGTTGCTTTTAGGGTATTCACAGAGTTGTGCAACCATCCACACTATCTAATTTCAGAACATTTTCATCATCCCTGAAAGAAACCCCATATCCATTGGCAGGTCCCCCCGCCACTAACCTCCCCAACTGCCCCCAGCTCCCAGCAGTTGCTAATCTGCTTTCTGTTTGTGTGGGTTTGTTACCGAAAGGGGGGCCGCTTCCAGGGCCCAAGAGTGGGCTCTTGTCTAGCGCTCGGAAGTGTATTGTCCGAGGAGACACGTTATCCTTACAGGGCGAAAGACTTTTTTGGGAAGGGGCGCCTGGGCAGAGAACAGTGGAATAAGGGAGCCCAGGAGAACTGCTGTGCCGTGTGGCTCACAGTCTCAGGTTTTATGGTGATGGGGTTAGCTTTCCAGGTTGTCTCTGGCCAGTCATCTTGCTTGTGCCCCTGTTTGGTCTGACTAAGGTCCTTCCTGATGGTGTGTGCATCTCTCAGCCAAGATGGATTCCAGCGTGAGGGTTTCCGGGAGGTTGGCAGGACATATTATGGGCCAGCGTCTCCTCCCTCCTTTTGGCCCCTCCCGAATTCTCCTGGTTAGTTTTCAGCGGCAGTGTGCCCTATCAGGACCTCCTGTCGTGACACAACTCGTGCAAGTGGTTATTATTGTGCCTGGCTGAGGCAGGCAGTTTTGGTCAACAGATTTTCCTATACTGGACATTTCATATAAAGGGAATCACAGGATATGTGGCCTTTTATGATTGGATTTTTTTTACTTAACATAATGTTTTCAAGGTTCATCCATGTCGTAACACGTATCAGTATTTCATTTGTTTTTGTGGTCTAATAATATTCCATGGGATGGACGGACCATATTTTTCCATTCATCAGTTGATGGACAGTTGGGTTGTTTCCATTTGGGGGCTATTATGAATAATGCCACTATCAACATTCCAGTACAAGGTTTTATGTGGCCCTGTGTTTCCATCTCTTGGGAATACACCAAGGATTGGAACTGCTGGGTCATGTGGTAACTCTGTGTTTCACATTTTGAGCAGCTGCCAGATCGTTTTCCACACTGGCTGCACTATTTTACTTTTCCACCAGCAGTGTATTGAGGCTTCCAGTTTGTTCCATTTTGTCCACATTCTCGCTAACACTTGTTTATTTTCTCGTTTTGGTTTTTATAATAGCCATTCTAATGGATGTGAGGTGGTATCTGATTGTGCTTTTGATTTGCATTTTCCTAATGATTAGTAACGTGAGAATCTTTTCATGTGCTTATTGGCAATTTCTATATCTTCTGTGAAGAAATATCTATTCAGTCCTTTGCCCTTTTTTTTTTTTTTTGTGGTACGCGGGCCTCTCACTGTGGTGGCCTCTCCCGTTGCGGAGCACAGGCTCCGGACGCGCAAGCTCAGCGGCCGTGGCTCACGGGCCCAGCTGCTCCGCAGCGTGTGGGATCTTCCCGGACCGGGGCACGAACCCGTGTCCCCTGTATTGGCAGGTGGACTGTCAACCACTGCGCCACCAGGGAAGCCCTTTTGCCCATTTTTAAATTGGGTTGTTTGACTTTTTATTGCTGAGTTGTAAGAGTTCTTTATATATTCTGAATTAGAGTCTCTTGTTGATATATGATTTCCAAACATTTTCTCCCATTCTGTGGTTTGTCTTTTCACTTTCTTGATGTTATCTTTTCTTTTTTTGTTGTTTTTTTGTTTGTTTGTTTGTTTTGCGGTACGTGGGCCTCTCACTGTTGTGACCTCTCCTGTTGCGGAGCACAGGCTCCAGACGCGCAGGCTCAGCGCCATGGCTCACGGGCCTAGCCGCTCCGCGGCATGTGGGATCCTCCCAGACTGGGGCACGAACCCATGTCCCCTGCATCGGCAGGCAGACCCTCAACTACTGTGCCACCAGGGAAGCCCTTGATGTTATCTTTTGAAAGTTTTAAATTTTGAAGTCTAACATGCATTTTTTTCTTTTTTTGTTCCTTCTGTCTTGGATGTCAGATCAGAGAAGCCATTGCCTAATCTAAAGTCATGAAGATTTGCTCCTGTGTTTTTCCCAAGAGTTTTATAGTTTTAATCTTACATTTAGGTCTGTGTCTATCTCATTCCAGATTGTACCTCCTGTGCCTAGAATAATGCCTGATGTATAGGAGGTACTTGATACTGAGTGAAATGAATGAACTGATATCTCTTGAATGAGTGAGTGAACAGATATCTTCTCATCCCAGAGCTGTTGCTATTTAAGTAAAGCCCCAGGGTTAAGAGGGCATTAGACGGAGGATGGGCACCAATTTGTTTTAATCTCCTCCCCCAGGGAAGCTGCCCTTAGTGAGCTCTCACAATTCCCTTTCTGCCAGCTTTTCTTTTCCTGTTTTTCCTCAGTTTTGTTTCCCTATTTGACAAAATGTTTCTAAGACATTTCCTAAATAAATTGTGTCTTGTCTACTTTGGTTAAATTATAAATATGGTAGATATACAAGAAAAATTTTTCCATCATAAAAATCTTGGTTGGGTGACACTTCTCTTGTTGGTTTTTATTGCGTTAGACTAAATAAATTCAGGTGACATGGCAGTGTATGAATTACAAAGGAAAAGTTGCCTCCTAGGGGGATATATGATGTCTAGAACTTACTTTTAGAAAAAAGCACCTATGTCTGCAGAGGGAGAAAACGTAATATGTCAACAACTAATGAATCTGGGTGAAGGCTATTTGGGAGTTCTTTGTACTGTTATTTTAACAACTTTTTTATGGTGAATTTTTTCAAAATAGGTGCTTCACATCCATTTTTCATTTAATCCTCTGCTGTTGAGGAAGAAATGAAGGTGAAGGCAGGCTGACCAAGGTCCGTCAAACTGGTTGAGTAGAGGAACCAAGATTTGGATGTGGGTCTCCAACTCAAGGCCTCCTACATGTTTTATGGCCTTGTGCATCTCAGATAGTCGAGCTTTTGCTGGGAATGACCCGCTCCTTCACCTGCCTCTGTCTTCATGTTCTTGACACTTTACAAGCCTATGCTCAGTGAGGGCAGGTGGGAGACGGTCCAGGAGTTTCTAGAATAGAGGAACTGCCATCCTGGGACTTGAAGGAAAACAAAGAGGGTGTGGAGGGAATCAATGCTTCCTCACCAGCCAGCAGGTGGGCCTCTGAGGCTCTCGGGAGACAGCCCTGACCCCCCTTCTGCCCTGCCTGTTCCAGGAGCTGAAGCTGCCCACCTTCCGAGCCCACTCCCCGCTCCTGAAGAGCCGCCGGTTCTTTGTTGACATCTTAACCCTGCTGAGCAGCCACTGCCAGCTCTGTCCCGCTGCCCGGCACCTGGCCGTCTACCTGCTGGACCACTTCCTGGATCGCTATAACATCACCACCTCCAAGCAGCTCTACGCCGTGGCAGTCTCTTGCCTTCTGCTCGCAAGTACGTGGAACCCACTTCTTCCCCGTGCTGTTTCCTCAGCCGGTGAGCCCGGGCGCTCCCGGGTCGTTCTACATTTCCATGGTCTTTGCACTTGCATTTGCACTTGCAAATGCACTTTGCATTTCCATGGTCTTCCGTGTTCATCCTTAGCTGAATGCGAACCATAGTAATAATAACCAACATTTTCTTTAGCATCTATAACATACCAGGCCAAGGGATGAGGATTTTAGCAGCTTGATCTTAATGAATCCACACAGTGACACTAGAAGACAGATACTTTTAGTACCCCCATTTCACCGAGGCACAGGGAGGTTAAGAAACTTGCCTTGGGTCACCCAGCTCATCTATAGCAGACAGGATTTGAGCCCAGAACTGCATGGTGCCAGAACCTGTGTCTTAACCCCATGTTACCTGCTTTCTGACATAGGGCTTCTGAAATTGCTGGCATGGGGGGGGGGGGAGCCCTAGCAACCACTGTTCTTAGAGGTGTTTAGAAATGTGACTGTTTGTGTGGGCCCCAAGCAGGACCCATTGTGTAGTCTCCAGGCCTGGGCACAGGCCTCTTGGAGTTTGTATCTTCCAGTGAGGCCTCACTAAACACACGGCATGGGGACTTCCCTGGCGGTCCAGTGGTTAAAACTTCGCCTTCCAATGCAGGGGGTGTGGGTTCGATCCCTGGTCGGGGAGCTAAGATCCCACATGCCTCACGGCCGAAAAACCAAAACATAAAACAGAAGCAATATTGTAACAAATTCAACAAAGACTTTAAAAATGGTCCACATCCAAAAAAAAAATCTTAAAAAAACAAAACAAAACACGGCATGGCTTTGACCATCTGTCTGCCTAGGTAGGAAATGAATATGCTACTACTCTGGTCATCTGCTTAAAGCACAGTCTGCCATGCCACGCTGCAACTAAAAATTGCCCCCTGATTTACCGACAGTCTTAGAAGGACCGTCCGTCAGGGTCCTGCCTCTCTGACCTCAGGCCTTTCTCCTCTTCCATCCCTAGGTTCCAGCCAAGCCCCTCCTGTCGCAGATCTTTGCACATGCTGTTCCCTCTGCCCACAGGACTTCCCATTCCTTCCCCCTGCCCATCTGGTCCTGGTTAAATGGCGCTTGGGCCCTGTACTCACATCCCTGAGAAAGCCTCCCCTGCCGCCTTGGGAGTGGGGTGTACATAAGGCCTCCCTGAGGTACAGCCGCATGGCCTCATGGACTTTTGATTGACACTCACCTCCCCCGCTAAGCAGTGAGTTTCAGGGAGGGAAAGGAACACATAGTAAGGCCTCAAAAAATAAGATTTGTGGACTCTCATGCTTCCAGAGCCGGGGGCGGGAGTTCTATCCCTGGTTGGGGAACTAGGATCCCACATGCCGTGTGGTGTGGCCAAAGAAAATAAAATGAAATAAAATGAAAACAATATTTGTGGGCTAAAGGAAATGAATGGAGCCAGAGTTTCCCTTAGAGCTGGGCCAAGTTGCCCTTCATGCAGACGGGTGGGACACCCCAAAGTGGCCAGCTGCAGTCACATTTCTTTGACATCTAGTCTTTTCTCCTTAAAATTCAATCACATCTTACATTCTCCGTTACAATATGTTATTGTCCTATTTTATTTTATGGGTCCCTTCCCCATTCCCCAGTGCTTGATTCCCTCTGATGCTTTGAGACCACCATGCCCATTTTCTCCTGTGGCTTTGTCTGTCCCTGGCATGCTGCTACAGACCCTCCAGCACAATCACCCAGGTCCAGACACATGGCTTTAGAGTTTTCAGAATTCTACCTTTTTTTCCACCCTGGCACCTGCCACCTGCTGTTATCTTAATCCCTTTGGCTGCTCTGGGTTTACAGCCTCCTGACTTGTGATTTTCTCTACCTTGAGCCAACTGGATTTCCCATGTTATACAGGGTAGCCTGTCTTGCTGGGAGTCCAGCCTGCTCATTACTTCAAAGTCTCAAATCAGCACGCAGCTCTCTTTTGTCTTGGGAGGAGCTGGGGGGTTTGTCCCCGCTGCAGCGGCCCTCGAGGAGTCTGCACCGTGGCCTCTGGCCTGCTGCCGTCTGTGATCTGCGGGTTGCCTCGAGGGCCCTGGGGGCAGGGGACTCGGATTTCCATGGGTTCACCGAGGCTCCCAGCATCTGCCTGGGGAGCTGGGATGAGAGGTGCGCACTGGGGACTCCTTTGTGCCTGCTGCCGTGGCAGAGGGAGGGGGCCTTTCAGAGGGAGAGGCAGAGGCCCTCACCCACATGTCTGAGGACAGCAGCCAGCCTTGGGCAGCAGGAACGGATTTTTCAGGACACCTGCCATATGCTCAGAGGCCCCAGGAAAGAAAAGTTTCCATGACAGCCTGAAATCCTATTCATTCCTCCCTCCCCTCTCGCCAGGCCGACTGTCAGCCACAAGGGGGTTCACCTTGCCTCAGGAAGTTCTGGGTTCTGCTAATTTTGTTGCAAATAATTAATTCCCAGATAAGAAGGGGGATAGTCCTTCTTGCCCCCATCTGTCCATTCTTAGGTTTTTAAAGCTGCTTGCAGGTAAGGGCCTTTGCATAGGTGGAGCCCTCTCACCTACACATAGCCCCTTCTGCCCCCATAAAACAGGAGCCAGTCAAGGACGCATGTCTCCAAGCCTGGGGAAGGGGGCAGAAAAGCAAGAGCTTGTGGGTTGTTCCTTGGGGGACCACTGGCAAAGCCACCCTTTGCCTTTCTAGGACCAAGTTAACTGCATTTCCTACCTTGACAGAGGAGAGAATTCTAGTATAAATATAATCTAGATATAAATATACCATAAATAGAGAAGAGCCACTCTCTTCTTTAGTCTTTCATCTCACACAGCACCCCTCCCCAACTGTCTTTTGCTTGTTGGTGTTTAACTAAAAGGACAATTTGACAACACAGAAACCCCACCACTTGCAGGTGAGTTGGCTTTCACAGTGCCACGTAATAATCGTCGTCCCGGCAGGGGCAGCTTCATTGCTCACTGGTCCCCTTCTATGCGCCCAGCCCTGTGCCAAGCACTTTACACACACATCACTTGGAAGCCTCACAACCAGCCTGTGTGATTGTGCTGTCATCTGACCATTCTGTAGGCTCAGAGAGGCCCAAGGTCACACAGTTTGGAACTTTGCTTTATTTTTTTTAAATTGAGGTAGAAGTCATATCACAACATAGACTCTACCATTTTAACCACTGTAAAGTGTATAGTTCCGTGACATTTAGTACATTAACGCTGTTGTGCAGACATCACCTCTCTCTAGATCCAGAACATGTTCATCACCCCAAAAGGAGCCCATGTATCCATTAGGCAGTAACTCCCCATTCCTTCCCACCCCTGGCCCCTGGCAACCACCAGTCTGTTCTGTGTCTGTATAGAGTTGACTGTTACGGGTATTTCATATGAAAAGGAGTCATACAGCACGTGACCTTTTATGTCTGGTTTCTTTCACGTTCTGTTTTCAGGGTTCATCCGTGTTGTAGCATGTATCAGTATTTCATTCCTTGTTATGGCTAGATAATCTCTGTTGTATGGATAGACCACATTTGTTTTTATCCGTTCATCTGTTGATGGACATTTGGGTTGTTTTCACGTTTTGGCTATTAGGATTAGTGCTGCTGTGAATACTCAGGCACCAGTTTGTTTGAACATCTATTTTCAATTCTTTTGCGTAGCAACCTAGGAGTGGAATTGCTGGTCATATATGGTCATTCTATGTTGAACTTTTTAAGGAAACTTGGAGTTTTACTTTTGCCTGGTTGTCACTGCTCAGAGATGACTGGGTGCTGAGTTCTTAGCTTCAGGGCATGGACCAGCCTGAGGAAGGAGAGAGGGAGGGAAAGAAAACCGGAAAGACAAGAGGCATGCTTGCTATGCTATGTTATGCTATGTAGCATGGCCTTAAATGTGATGATACAAAAAGTATGAGATACATTTTTATTGTTAGAAACATACAAAAGATACAGAAGGACTTAGTGTAAAAAAATTGTTTCCCCCCAAATCCATAGTCCCATTCCCAAAGTTTGGCGTGTATCCTTCCAGTTCTAGATGTACTTACGTATTTTCAGAATCGGGAAAACAAACCTATTTTCATTTCCGGGGGTGAGAGGAGGGAATGAATCATAGATTAACAGCCGTATAAACTGCCCGTAAAGGGACTTCCCTGGTGGTCTGGTGGTTAAGACTCCTTGCTTCCAATGCAGGGGGCACGGGTTCGATCCCTGGTCGGGGAACTAAGATCCCACATGCCACGTGGTGTGGCCAAAAAAAACCCCAAAAACTGCCCTTAAACAAAATTGCCAGATTCCCTCTCTTCCTCCTTTTTCTATTCTTTTTTTTTCCTTTCTAATCCCAATTCCGTCATACTTTCTCTTTACAGACTTCTGTTTTCTTTCATTGTGACTTCCAGACCCCCACCCCACTCCCTGGGAAAACAAGGTTTCTTTTTTTTTTCCCCGGTACACAGACCTCTCACTGTTGTGGCCTCTCCCGGATCGTGGCCTCTCCCGTTGCGGAGCACAGGCTCCGGATGCGCAGGCTCAGCGGCCATGGCTCACGCGCCCAGCCGCTCCACGGCATGTGGGATCTTCCCAGACCGGGGCATGAACCCGTGTCCCCTGCATCGGCAGGTGGACTCTCAACCACTGCTCCACCAGGGAAGCCCCTAAACAAGGTTTCTTAGTGCTGAGTTGTTGGTGAGCCCTGTCCTGCTCCTGGCTTCTGGCTTGTGAAAAGCTGTGAAAGCTCAGGGGGACAAGTCCATCTGTTTCTTGGGATAAAGTTCTGACTTCCATATTTTTGTAGGTGAGCCTGAGTCCAATGCTGGCCTTCATCTCAGCCCTCATCCTCCTCCCCAGGAGAGGGAAACATCAAGCAGGAGTGTGGTCCCACGGCCTCTGCAAGGGAAGGACCCCTCTCTGCACATGGGTCCTCCTGCAGGGCAGGGTCCCGTAGCCCGGCGTGAGTCTGTCATGCTTTGCTGTGCTTACCTGCAGAAAGGCCCATCT